GTGAGATAGAGCCTCTGGGCCAGGGAACAGGATGGTGCTGGCAGGAGAGTAGTGGCCATTTCAGACCAACTCCAGACCCAGTTGTGAAGAGTGAGGGCTCCATAGTGATGCCCGAGGCTTCTTTCACAGCCCCACCATCACCTAAGAACATAGGCCTGTTCTTGCCTGAGGACCCCGCCCCCGCCTGTGGGTTCTTCGAGGCCCTACCCAGAGCTGAAAGCTTTGACCCGTTTTTCCATGTCTGTCCCCTCAACTAGAAGGGGAGCGCCAGGATTCGGCTTCGCTCACCTCAGTGCCCAGTGCCCAGCACAGTCCATGGCACAGGGTTGACTCTCTACACGTGTTTGTTGAATGAATGCATGACGGAGCTGTGAGCTGAGTACCTCAGTTCAGCGGCGTCCCGGCAGCTCCATGTTCCGGGGAGGGAGCTGGGAGGTCACATTTTTCCCCAGCCCCTCACCACTTCCTCTCTCCCAGCTCCTGTACGAAGAGTGGGCCAGTTACGGGGTCTTCTACAAGTACCAGCCCATCGACCTGGTCAGGTAAGAGGGGGTGCCAGGAGCAGACCTAATCGGTTAAATGTCCCTATGCATCGACCGCACTGAGCGCGCAGTCCCAGGAGCCTGTTTGAGCTTGAAGAGCTCGTGTCGAGGAGCCAAGGCCTTCCGGCAGGGGCAGGACCCAAAGCCCGGCCGAGCCTTCGGTGGGGCAGTTGACTCAGGTTCACCGCAGGATGGGCTCTTGTCTGTCGTGTTCACCATCTCCCGCTAAATTCACGTCCCAGCTTGACCCAGCCGGGCAACTGGCAGGGTTCCTTTCTTTGCTATATTGAGAGAAAAAAAGAACTGCCTTGGAATTTGTAAGAACTGGCCCTCAAGGACCTGCGTCCCAGGGCGGGAAGGGGCAGACAGATAAACAACGTGTGTGCTGTGGGGACACGCAGACCAGCGCTCAGCCCATCAAGGAGCTCGAGATGCTTAGTATACGGAAGTTATTGGTTCTCCTGGTGCCTCCGGGCTGAACAGGCTGGGAAATGGTGCCCACAGCCTCTGGGCTGCACCCTGCCAGCAGCCTGGGTCCCCAGCAGAAGAGCTCCCACCTTCGGAGCACAGGGGAGAAAGGGGGTGGACGCAGGGAAGGCCTGGTGGCCTGGCTCAGAGTCCCCCTGGGGCCCCCGTGTGAGCTGCTCCTCACTGGGGCGGGGACGGGTTGTGGATTGAGAGTAAGTGTGTCTGTTTGGCTTTGCCCTGCGGTGTAGGAAGTATTTTGGGGAGAAGATCGGCCTGTACTTCGCCTGGCTGGGCGTGTACACCCAGATGCTCATCCCCGCCTCCGTGGTGGGGATCATCGTTTTCCTCTACGGATGGGCCACCGTCGATGAGAACATCCCCAGGTAGGCGGGCCGCCCCCTCCCCCTGAACACACGAGCAGAGCTCCCCGGGACCTGGGCCCCTCACCCCAGCCCCCCAGGCACCGGCTCAGCCCCCTGGGAAGTCACATGCCCGGCCAGGCGCCGTGGGGACACGGGGCCCAGTCCAGAGGGTGTAATAGCCGTCTGACAGCGTGGGCAGCCTTTCCAGGCACGGACGCCCTGGGGGACGTTTTATTGTCGAGAGGAAGACATAAAATAAATATCCAGCTCCTTTTCATTCTTTGAAGCTTTTTTTTTTACCCATTTAGTTCTCGGTTATGATGTGACAACAAAATTCACTGCTTCCTGGGGAGGTCAGGAAATGAGACAGATGACCGTTCCGAGGCCTTGGGGCGCGTGCCCAGCCGGCCAGGCTCCGTCTCCCTGCAGCGTCCCTGCCCCTGCGGCTTTGGGAAACCTTGCAGCACCAGCATCTTAACAAAGGCTGGCCCAGTGCAGCAGACCCATCTCTGAACGCAAGGGTGGCGTTTCCTGCTGCTGCTCCCCACGCGGTAAAGCAGGCATGGGGTGCGCTTGGAAGAGGCCGCCGCCCCAGAGGCAGCCCAGCCTGTGCGGTGTTGCTCTCTCCAAGTGGCAGCCAGAACGTGGCCCAAGCAGTGGGAGCTTGGGGACACCGTCTCCCATCTTCTCTAGTTTCCCAGACTTGCTAATACTCACCCCAAAGTAACTGTGTCATGGGTTCAGGACCTCAGGCCCAGCCTGTGTCAGCGACACTGTGCCGATGGGCAGATCGCTGGTTAGAAAGGTGGACGCCACTGGCCCTGCCTCCCAGGAGCTGGCAGTCAGTCGGGGACAGTCCTGCGACATCAGTGTCATTACCTCTTACAGCTCAGCCCTGTATCTCTAAACCAGAGCTGTGGCTTGGAAAATTCACCCAGTTCTGCTTGGTAAAAAGCCAGTGAAGGAGTCTTTTACCTGGTGGAGAAACGGACTCCTTAGAGAACTCAGCTGCGTAGAGGCCACGTCCGGTAACTTTTTATGCAAGTGAGGTTTTAATACATGAATAATGTCTAAAGTATTCCGCCCACCCTGCACCAGAACGTTAAAGGAGTCTGGCTAATGTCCCCTCCAGGGCTATTTCGGGCACAGGCAGGAGAAAACTTGTCCCTTTGTTTGCTAATGACATAAGTTACCAAAGCAGTCCAGAGTGATGGAGACTTGACTCCAAAGAAGTGGGGAGCCCCACCACCACCACCACCCGGGCCCACGAGGCAGCCTGGAGGCTTCTCCATCAGCCTTCTCCCTGTCCTGGAGGGGAGATGGAGCTGGCGCCCCCAGGCTGGACCCGGCCAGCTCTGCCGCCTCCCATCACACAGCCAGGGATGCAGACAGATTCACTGGGGATTCTGGAGGCCTGTCTGACCTCGGCCTCTGCCCGCTTGGCGCCTTGGACAAAGCAGGAGGTGTGTGTTCTCTTTGGAACCTGAGCCGTCCAAGCTAGGAGGATAGCAGGCCCCCTGCGCCTCTGGTGCCGTCCCTCCATTCGCTCCAAAGAGCAGGCCCGCCTGTCGCTTGTCTTTATTTTGGCCGAAGGTGGTGAAGGGAGAGACTGAGGGTTTAAAACCAGCAGAAACAGGCTTTTTGTCTGGCTGGGGCTGTTTATGCTGGCAGGGAGGAGGTCTGGGGCAGCCGCGGGGCTCACAGGCAGGCGGAGATGCAGGCCCTGGCCCTCCCTGGCCCCGCCCACCCTCAGGGCTCCGGGCCCCCCGCCCTCGGGCTGGGGGTCCCTGTGGCCCCAGATGGCACATTGACAATGGTGCAGTGGGGGGAGCCTTCCATCCACTGCTTCCCTGAGGGGCCGGGGTCAGGCACGGTGGGATGCCCTGCCCTCTGCCTTTCAGGAGAGGCCCTCAGGAGCGAGGAAGCTCAGGGAGGGAAAAGAGCTGGACTCCTGTGCCTTTTTAAAACCCACTGTAGCTGCCTGGCGTTCAGTTATTCCCACAACAACGTGCACAGCAGGGCGGCTTAGGCGTCCCAGCACCGTCCCAAGGGCTCTCTCTGTGTACAGCGCTCACTGTTAGCGCCAGCCTTGACGGAGTCCTCCTGACGACCCAGGAACACGGGTTCTCTCGATTCGCAGCCTCGCCATCCTCCAGACGGGGACACTGAGGCCGCAGGAGTTTGAGCAACCTGCCCAGAGCCACGCAGGTCACAAGGGGGAGAGCTGGGATTCACACCAAGAGCTGGCCGGCCGCCGAGTCCAGGGTGTGCCTGCGCCAGCCCCGCTCACACGCAGACACACACGCCACACACGTATACACACACGTACACACACCACACACAGACACACACCACAGACACACACACACACCACGCGCACACCCACAGAAGAGTGGGGACGGAGCCCTGGTCTCTGTCTCAGGAAAGCCCACACCCCGAACGGCTCGCAGCTGCTGCCTGGAGGCCGCGGGAGGCAGGAGCGGCCCTGAGCAGCTGCGGGGCTCACGGCGCGGGCTCAGGAGGGCCGTGCGTTCTCGTGCTTTCCGCCCGTCCCTCTTTCAGTTCCCAGGGCCCCTGTCCCGTAAGGACTGGTCAGAATTCACTGTTAACACAAGCCTTGGTGGCATCTGGTCACCAGACGGAGGCTGGGCGGGGAGCTCGGCTCCTCCTAAAGGTGGCTCCAGCGCGGCTGTGGCTCCCGCTGCCCAGGCCCCCCCCAGCAACCGAGGTGAACACTCAGGCGGCCTCTCCGGCCACACAGCAAGTCTAGGCAGGTCCACGCCCAGGGCTGCCCGCGGAAGTTGTATGTCGCTTGCAAAATAAAAACGCAGGGACCCGCTCAGAAACCATTAAGAGTTTAAGGAGGTGACCGCAAAGTGGGAGATTGGTCTGGGGGCCCTGCGCGGTGGCACCGGTCACACGTCGTGGAGGCTGGCCTTGGATGGGAAGAAGGACGTGGACCTGGCTGCAGCCGGCTGGGCGCCGGCCCACGCCCACCGTGGCGAGGACCCCCAGCCCTTCCTCCCGCCCCAGCGGCCCCCCTGGCCCAGGGACTCTGGTCTGCTCCCTCTCTTCCAGCATGGAGATGTGCGACCAGAGACACAACATCACCATGTGTCCTCTGTGCGACAAGACCTGCAGCTACTGGAAGATGAGCTCGGCTTGTGCCACGGCCCGCGCCAGCCACCTCTTCGACAACCCCGCCACCGTCTTCTTCTCCATCTTCATGGCCCTCTGGGGTAAGCGGAGCGCCGCCACCCTGTGTCTTGGGGGCAGAGGCGATGCTGGGTGGGTCCCCAGGTTCCCTTCTTCTCCTTGAGATGATCCACAGGGCTGTTTGCCAGGGATGCACAGAGGAGGAGCAGTGGGCGGAAACAACCCCCCATTCGGTCTGCAGGTCGCCTGGGTCTGTGCTGGGTCACAGATGCTCCCGAGTTACCTAACCCGGCCAGGAGCCCGTATGAAAAGGCTGAGAGGGTACTTTGCTCCCAGAAACGGGACCTCTTTCCTGGGTCCAGGATTTGTTGGCCCAGGAAGGGCAGCCGCTTTAGAACGGGTTGTGGGGAGCGGATCACGGCCTCCGCCTTCTTCCCTGACGATGCTGGGAAAGCCGACCTGGGCCAGGCCCTGAGACCCATCTCTCATTGTCCCTCCGGCACCCCTGCAGGCTCCCTGCGCCCATGTCACAGATAAGGAAGCCAAGGCCCAGAGGGAGTGAACATATGTTAGTGTGAGTTCCCTGGGATCACTGAGCTCCTGGGTGGCCAAGGCGAGGAGTGAACATATGATTCCAGAGCCCGTGCCTTTAATCGCTGGACTCCACTGCCACCCGGAGTCCAAGGCAAACGACTCCTTCTCCAGGATTCCTCCCAAATGCAGGTCCCACTTGGTACCCAGCTCAGGCTTGGGAGGGGCGTGGGAGGCTTGTAAGTGATGGCGGATGCATTTCTGCAGATGTTTCTGGATTAGCAGACAGGCCTGTTTGCTCTTCTGTGGCCCTGTGGTGCGGTCTCTGCTGGCAGGGGATTCAGGATTTAGGCACCCATGTGCTGAGAAGACCCTGGGCACCAGAGCCCCATTCTTTGCCTTCAGGGGCTCCCCTCTACTAGGAGATGGAGCTGCGCACAGGGAAGGCACAGGAGCCCAGGAGGGGGGAAGTCAGAAAGGGCTTCCTGGAAGAGGTGTGAGCCCCTAGAGCTGAGTTCGGAGCTGTGGGGGCCAGGGTGCTGGGCATTTGTGGCAGAGGGGCCGAGTGTAGTAACGGAGAGGGCTGCTGCTGGCTCAGGAGTGAACAGCATGTGCAAAGGCCCTGTGGTGAGGGTGCAGGCCTGTGGAAGGAAACTGCAGGTGCAGGTGCAGGTGGGAAGGGGAGGGAGGAGGACCCCAGAGGCCAGCAAGGGCCATGAAGGACTCTGTTCTCACTGGGAGGACTCGGAAGCTGGTGCAGTCAGCCTGCTGCATCACAGAGGTTTTCTTGTCTTATTTTGCGTTGGAGACGGCGACTGCAAGAGGCAGCCGGGGAAGTGGTGGAGGGAGGCTGGCCCAGCTCCGACTGCAGACAGTGGCAGGGCTTTCGCTTGGAGCCCACGTGAGCTCCGTGACAGACGCTCGGCCCTCCCACTTCCCTGTCGGGCAGGTGATGGTGAGAGGTCAGTTTCTCCCGAGGGCGGCACAGCACGGGAAGGAGGCCTATGGAGATAGATGAAAATGTGAAAACAGCTTGGACTCTGGGAGACTGGAGCTCAGATCTCACCTTTCACCTCATGCTTGGGGGCCTCTGTGAATTACATCACTTCATCTCCTTCCGTAAAGGACACGAGCTTCAGTTAGTGAGCCCTGCTGCGTGCCAGGCACGGTCCTAAGCGTCTTATGCGTGGTGACTCATCAATTCCCCCGATAACTGTAGCAGGGAAATAGCTTCACTAACCCATTTGGCAGATGGACAAATGGAGGCCACTTTCCCAAGGTTGTACTAGCTAATAAGAGGCAGAGGCGAGACTTGAACCCCAGCCTCCTGGTTCCGCCGCCCCAAATACTTGATCACTGGGCTCTCCTCCCTCTGCCGGCTCCTGACCACGTCCGGCTGATGTGTGTGCTTAACTCGTGCTTGGCTTGTTCCTGACAGGATGACCTCAGATTCATTCTCTCACCTGAAACAGCTTCCCTGTCTGCCTCCAGACGCATACGCTCCCTTCCCCTCCAGAGCCTGCACAGAGTTCTGCACAGGCTTTCTCACTGATCCCCACGACAGCCCTGGAGAGAAACCCTGCCGTTCTCTGATGAGGACGCTGAAGCACAGAGAGGTTAAGTAACTTGCCCAAGATCACACAGCTGGCAGATTCATCATAAACATGACAGGTCCGTTCCCTGGCTTGCCAGCCTCCAAGGTCTAAGCCCTGATCTCACCTCTCCATCCAAACATCCCCCAGCCCCTTCTGTGCTCCTCTGGGGAAGCAGAGATGTACCATGTGTGGGCAGTAGGGGCAAACGGACAGTAATGCTGCTCGGCCCGCCCACAAAGCAGGGAGCATTAGATTCTGTGCATCCTCTCAACAGAGCCAGCTCACTCATGCCACTTCTTTACTGAGCACCTACTGTGTGCAGAACACATACCCTCAAAGGGGTTGGCCAGCCCTTACCAGCAGCCCTGGCCTTGGGAGAAAAACAGGTGTTTCCATCCCTCCCACACCCAGGACGCAGGGAAACGGGCAGAGCTGTGCTCCTGCTGTGTGCCCCCCGCCTCCTCCAGCTCCACCTCCCCGGGAGGGACGACAAAGGTGCCTGTCTGTCAAGTGCAGTTCCATCTACACTCTCCATTTGGGGGGAAGAAAATCACAAAAAAGCCAAACCACTCCTGTGAAGCACTTACTTTAGGAAAAGGGAAGTTAGTCTAAATCAAGACAGAAGCAACAGGAAGGGGCCTGCTGGGCCTGAGACGTGCCTGTTGTCACGCCGCCCCTGCTGGTATGTCCCCCTGTCCCCTGGCCCTTTCACACCCGCTGTCAAGCGTAATTAGCAGAGATCTTGCCGACGCTGAGGTTTTTTTTTTAATCCCTTATTCAATTACTTGTTCATTACCCTCCAAAGGATCATTTTCCCACTGGTGTTTCTTCTCCAGCTGTCCTTTCTGAGTCTGTCCTTCAGCTGTGAACGTTTCTGCTCACACGGTGACAGCGACCCCAAGCCTGTTCCTGGCAGAATGGGGGCCGTGTCGCTGCCCCGGGGGTCGGCTTTGGTCACTGTTTTCATCTTGCTTCCCCTCCACGGTGGGGTCCAGCTTGTCCCAAGGCTGACACGCCTGTCCTGGAGCCATGAGCTCTGGGTGAGCCCCCCGCTGCCTGGGATTTATGACATTTCAAAGCCTCAAATAAGATGTCACGCAAAGCAACTTAGAGTCTCATTTAGCTGTTCAGGAGGATCAATTTTCTGAAATCATGGCATAATAACAGGGTTTTATCAGCTTGTCAGTTCCATGCCGAACAAAGAGGGTTATTTGATTTGAGCCTGGCTGCAAGACCGGAGAAAGAGAGCCCCAGCATTAACGGGGTGATGGGTGCGATCGAAGCCCCTCCCCTGCCAGGGGCTGCGCCCGGGGCTCCAGTGGAGTTGGTGGTCACTGGCTGGGTCACCCCAGCTGGATGGGAGGGAGCGAGAGACGGATTCTCTGCTGGAATCAAGAGGCCAGCAGCCGGCTCAAGAGCGATGCTTGTTCAGAGGGTAAATAAGTAGGGTCAGTGAGAAAAGGACAGGTTGGAGGCCTTTGTGCGGGGACCCCGTCTCCCCTGGGGCCCCACAGGCGCGTTCGCTCTCCTGTGCGGCTCTTGCAGCCCAAGGACACACATCTCCAACCTCCATTCCCAGAGGAAGGAGTGCACTGAGCAGGCGTTTGACTGTCAGGAGGCAGAGGTCAGTGGAGCTGGTCTCTGCTCTCGGGGGTCACGTTTTAAGGAGTGTGAGCCCTGTCTGTCCCCTGGGCCCATGGCACAGGACTGCCAGGCAGGGGAGTTCCAGGGAGGCAAGATCGCCTCCCGTAAGGAGCTTGGGCCTCACCGTGGAGACGGGACAGAGGGGGCCGTCCTCGGGGCGGCCGCAGAAGCGCCCCAGCATCGGTCAGAGCCCTCCGTCGAGGCTGTGCCTTCGTGTCAGCAGCAGTGCTTCAGTGAAGGGGGAGCTCAGGAAAGGGGGTTCAGCAGCCAGCTGAGGGGCATCCAGAATTTGGAAACTGGAGAAAAGACAGTTTGGGCAGGTCAAGCCGGGCCCAAGGGAGGCGGGCTGAGATGCGGCCCGGGAGGAACAGAGGCGTGCGGTGGGGTGGAGGGTGGACGGCCAGCCACTCTGATGGGGTAAGAGATGGATGGAAGGACAGGGCCGACGGTGGACAGATCAGTGTGTCCAGATGCCTGTGTGCACCAGGGACGCCCACGGAGCTTGCTCTGAATGCAGATTGCAGGTCGGCCCAGGGCCCCTGAGGTGGGGTTCCACTACGGCATATCGCAGGCCCGTCGGAGAACCCCCAGAGGAAAGCGGACAGGCTGCCCCCACCCCCACGTAAGCATGAGGGTGTTTGGCTCTGGCCCGTGTGCTCCGCGGCCCCCACGTACGGCAGAGGGACTTAAACCTGGAAGCAGAGTCTGTACCCCTGGTTCGGTGACTTCTTTTTTTTTAAGTTCGGGTGAAATTCACATCAGGTGAAGTCACCATTTTAAGTGCACAGCTCAGTGGCGTTTAGGACACTCGCCACGTTGTGCCAACGTCACATTTTCATTCCCCCAAGGGGAGACCCGGTGCCCAGAAAACAGTGCTGCCCTCACCCCCGGCCACAACCAACCTGCTTCCTGTTCTGTGGATTTATCTGTAAATACTGTGGACGCTTTGTGTAAACAGAACCAACCGTATGCTTTGCTCTGTGATCAGCCTCTGCACGAGACCCAGTGGAGGCGCCTCGGGTGAGCCGGGTACCACGCGGGGGTCCCACCTGAGGCTGCGCTGTGCCCTGGCTCACCGATGCTCCCCAGTAGGTCCCACAGTGGGCACTGCCCCTGAGCCCATTGTGCAGACGTGGAGACTGAGGCCGGCGGGGGGCAGGGGGCAGTCCTGCACCCAAGCTTACACCTGGGTTTGATCCATGGTCGATCCCGAGACCTTCGCTCACCTGCCACTTCTGGGCTACTCTCTACAGATGTGTCTTCCCAACGTTGCGTGGTGAAGAAAAACGTTGGAAGGAAGAAGCCTCACCGCCCGCGACCGTCCTGGCCTGGGCCCCCTCTTCACTCACGGGCCACTGTGCTGTGCTGCCCCCGGGCTCAGGAGTGCTGGGGGGTGGGCTTGTCTCTTTGGCCCCCTTGACTGGCTGCTGGGGTCAAGGCCATCGCATCACGTCTTTAGTAGCCCTGGGTTCTGCACACGGCTTGTCCTTCTGGGGGTGGGAAGCCACACCCCTAACCCCGGCCAATCTTGGGCTCAGAAGTCCTGGATCCAGGTTTCTGTTATGTGTTAACCAGTCACCTGACTCCTTGGAGTGTCTGTTTACCCATCCGTGCAAAGGAGTGCGTCGTCCCTGCGCTGAGGGCCTGGGGGTGGGCTGGAAGGAGACTCCCCGAGCACGCCCAGCGCTGACACCGGCTGGACGTCGCGGGAAGTCTATGTGATGTGGTTAGCACGTCAGCCAGGAGAACTGTGCCTGGGAACCTCAGAGGGAAGGGATGGGACCCCGGCAGGACCCGCCGCTGTCCACACGGCTGGGGGGAGGAGGCCGGGCAGCAGGAGCTCAGCTGCAGAGGAGGAGCCCTCGGCTCTCTGCCTGCCTTGGCCCTGCCCGGTAGAAGGTGGGTTTTCACGTTGCTCGGATGCCCGGTTCTGAGCTGAGACCTCAGGACGGCCCCTGGCTCAGGGTGAGCCTTCATATTGCCCCGCCGCCCGCCATGCCTGAATATCACAGCTCCATCCCTTTGCTCCAAAGCAGGCGGGGCAGACTCCGCGCCATGGAGCCCAGGCAACAGGGCATGGTGGGGTCTGTGGCTCAGTGAAGAAGGTATGCCCAAACTTTGACAGAGCAATGGTCACTCCTCAGCACCAGCCTTCTGGTGCCAGTGCTTCTGAGTTTCAAAAGAAAAGCAGGAAACTCGTGATTTTATATAAAATGTCTGCATTTCTTAAACACAGCTGATCCAAATGAGCCTTGTCAACGTACCATCTCCACTCCATGGCCACCAGGTTGTGACCGCACATCCAGTCTCGGTCCTGGTCAGCCTTCAGATACCTCTGGGAGAGAGCTCTTGAATCTATCTTAAGATATTTAACAGTAAAATTCTAGAGCAAGAATGCCTGGGTTTAAATACCAGCTGACTAGCTGTGTGACCTTGGACAAATTACTGAACCTCTCTGTGCCTCTGCTTCCTCATCCATAAAATGGTAATACAAGTTTTGCTGTAATTATCAAGTCTATTATTGTGATTATATTATTATTCCCTTAAAGAAAATCAAACATCTATGCAGAGGGTCCATCAAGTGGTTAAGTGTATACTCTGGGGTAGATAGAATTAGATTCAAGTCTCACTCCTGCCGTTAACCTGCAGGTGAACTTGGGCATGGCATTGAGTCCTCTGAGCCTCTGTCCTCGTTTGTCAATGTACAAGTGGCAATCGCTCCCATTGCATGGTGTGGTTTCGAGGGCTCGTGTAACTGATGTCGGATAACCACCAGCACAGCCCGCTGCAGGCGCGTCCTCACACTGCAGACTGGCAAGGCGGGGGTAGGGGGGATGCAGGGAAGCCAAGACTGGGAAGGGAAACAGGCCGGCTCTCCCACTGAGCCCGAGGTCTCAAAGGCGGCCTCACCACGGGCAGGCAGAGGAGGACAGAGAGGGACAGCTGTCGAAACACAGTGAAGGAGCGATGGGCCTTCCTGAGCGGATGGAGGGGTGGGAATGGGCCCGAGGTCCTCCACTGCAGTGACCAAAGGACACGTTGCAAGAAGCAGAAGGAAACACCCTCACGTGTTCCTTCTCAGGAGGTGCTGAGACTGTGGACGGGCCTGCGCCACCGACCACACGCTGCCTCACGGCAGGTGCCCGGCCCCTCCAGAGTCCCTGCTCAGTCTGTATCTGCTGGGAGTGTACTTGTGTCACAGGGAACTACATTTCCCAGGCCCCCCTGCTCTGCTGTCTGGTTTCTGGAAAGATTCAGCCAATGGGAAGCCCTGATGGGGATCAGAAGGCGGGAGAAAGGGAGAAGCCAGGGTGTTTCTCCTTCTCTCCCTCTGCTTCCCGGGGTGTCTCTGGCGGAGGCTTTGTCTTCTCCAAGGTTCTAACTCCCACCAGACGCCCACCCTCCATGATCCTGGCTGCTTCTGGGAAGCTCCAGTTTCCAGTAACACCGCCTCCCCTTGTCCCGCTGCCCCTAAATGACCCACTGCATTGGCAGCAACTTCCTACTGTTGCCAGTCGCTGGGTGGTCTCACCGTCCCCTGCTGGCTTTCTCAGCTCTTCCCCTGCCTGTGCAGCCAAGCCCAGGTTTAAATTACCCCAGTCAGAAAGACCGAGGAGGTTCCTGTGTCCCGGCTGGGCCTGGCTGGTGCAGCAGCTGGTGTTTGACGTGTACGCATTCTGCACAGATACACGCAGACTCCGAGGCCTGAGGCCTGTTCTCAGCTCGCCTTAACAGCGAGGGGGCATACAGACTAAAGCTCTCTGAACCAGATGAGTCAGATTCAGGCCCACTTCCTTCCAGGGCCCGCGCCTACATTCTTTCCTGGTAAAGGACGACACTGGGGAATTTGCACTGAAGTTCCACGTCTTGTTGTATTTCCATCTGGACGCCACCACTTCTCAGACAAGCCATGTAATTCCTCTTAGCTTCAGTTTCCTCATCTGTAAAATGAGGGAAAGAATGACGCCTTCCTCCTGTGATTACTGTGAGGTTTGAGGGCCAGGCATTGCTCAAAGAGCTATCACGTTAAGTATTAATCTCACTTAAACCACACAGTAATCATAGGAGAGTCCCAGGAGGAGTTGGTTTCTTTCCTGACACCAAGTGGAATGATCGGAGGGCTTCCTGGAGGAGGTAGTATTTGAATTATGTTTAGTCTGTTGGGAACACAAAGCAGGATGTAGTGGCTAAGGGTGCAGCACAGCAGTCAGACCATCTGCAAGGGTTTGAAGCTTGAGTGAGTGGCCTTGGCCCACCTCTTACGCTTTCTGACCTCAGGACCCCCACCTGTGACTCAGGTCCCCAAGATCGTGGAGGAGGATGGGGAAGAGCACGAGCTCTGGGACCAGCCTGCCCAGCCCCTCACCGTCTGGCTCAGTAAGCTTGGCCAGGACTCAGCTTCCCTGGGGCTCAGTTTTTTCATCTGTAAAGTGAGAAACTGAGAAAGTGATCATCTGCACCTCGTGAGGTCAGAAGGAGGGCTGAACGGATTAATTCGTGGGATGCTCTTGGTCCAGCACTTGGCTGTCCTCACTCACCAAATGGTGCAGAAGAGGAGAGTGCTTCACGTCATCCGATGCCGTGGGATTTCTCAGCCCCTGACTGTCTGGTTCTCCTCCTGCCCTCAGCCGCCACCTTCATGGAGCACTGGAAGCGGAAACAGATGCGACTCAATTACCGCTGGGACCTCACAGGCTTCGAGGAGGAGGAGGTGAGTGGGTTTGGCACTGCGCTCCCCCGTGTCCTCCTCAGCCCGCACCCCATTCCTTCCTGGGGACTCCCACGAAAGCCTTAGGTCGCAGAGCCCAGGCGAGGCTGCGCCCGCCAGCTTCTCGGCTCACATCCCTCGTGTTGGAATCCCCCGCAGTTGCCAGGGTGACCGTTTGCTCTGTCCTAGTGTTTTGATCTCCCTGCTCACATGGACACACTGCCCACCAGCGTGGTCAGGGACGCAGGCCAGAGCTCACCACGCTGATGTCATCATGTCTGGGGCGGCCCGGTGGGTCTGGGGAGGGAATTGGCGCCACCCATGAGGCTGAGTCCCCCGCAAAATGTCGGTGAGCCTTTGTCCAGGGTGCCAAACCCTAGATCCCCAGAGCCAGCCCTCAGCCTGGCTGAGAAGTTGGGGCAGATCCTTCACGAATAAAGGGAAGCCATGTGCTGGGTATTCGAGAGCGATTGACCACTGCAATGGCGGGTGAGCCCCTTCCCCGGGGCTTCTCAGAACCTTGCCGTTGTCCCATCTCAAATTGCCAGCTCCTGCCAGAATCCCGTGGGATGAGTGGGAACGAAAAGAAAAAACAGTCCCACAAACAGCAGAGCTGTGAGGCGTGGCCGCACTGACCACAGCTTCGTGTTATGAAACCTCTTGCTCAGGGTTTTAAAGAGAAACCGCTGGTGCGTCTTCATTGGAGCGTGAAATTCTCTTCCGACTTCTTTTTTCAGCATCCTGTTGTGTCCCCCCACACCCACACACCTGCTCCCTCCGGGACTGAGCTTGTGGGCCCCTCAACAGCCAAAGACGTGGTGCAGTCAGAGAAGCCGCCATGCGGGCTCTATGCGGACAGTTTTGTCCACACACAAGGGCGCTCGTTTGCTGGGAGAGGCACAGCAGTGTGGCGAGACGGCCTCTGGGACCAGGCCATCCCGAGTCGGCCCCGCCCTCACTGTGTGACCTGGGCAGGTCGCTTAACCTTTCTGTGCCTCGGTGTCCTCACTGTCCCCCGTGATGGGAACTGGGTCAGCCGTCTACTGGAGCAGATTCTAAAGATTCAAATAGAACAAAAAGCAGTGTCATCTTATTATTTTAGAAGTAGATTTAGAAAGACCATTCCATGATGTCCCTGTGGTCGGGGCAGGGCCAGTCCCCTTTGTTCAACCCCTTGGGGACCTGCCCCGTGATCTCTTCACCCTGACGGCTTGGGCGCTGGATCGTGGGTGGTGGTCGGAGCCACTGCGCATGTGGTCCCCAGGGGCCTGAGTGTGTTCCTTAGGGTGAGCCTCCCTGCCCGCCCCCCACGGCTGGCCAGGGGCCCGTCAGGTTAACCGCCTGAGACGGAGGCGCAGCCTCTCCACGACGTGTGAACCCCAGGGAGCACTCCTGGGGCAGGAGGAAAGCTGTGTCTAGTCATCTGGCCCGTGTGCTCCTTCCCTGATCCTGAAACGGTTCAGCCCCACTCTGCTTTGGGGATTTTCTAGAACACTCGAGCTTCAGCAGCAGCAATACGCACGGTCACCCTAAAAGAGAACAGCCTTTCACGAGGCCTCCTCCTCCATCTGTGCCCACTTACCTTCATCCTGGTTTGGAAGGATATTGCTTTTAGAGGATGTAGCCTGTTTCTTAAAAAACAACACAAGTAATGAAATCTTTCTGTTTTTGTTTGACATCTCTGGTCCCCGAAGGAGGCTGTCAAGGTTTGGAATTTTTTGTCGCTCCTCTCTCTTCCTGCAGCCTGTCTCCCCGGGAGAGGGCCTTCCTCGCACACCTGGTCCGGCTGTCTCTGCCGAGCAGTTCCGCGCATCTCCTTCACTGCGGGCAGGGGTCTCTGCTTCTCCCCACCTCCGGGTCTCTCTTAACCCGCTCTTCCGTTCCAGTGCCCTTCGCTGACCTGCTCTGGGCTCCCTGGAGGCCTGGCGCCTCTGGTCTGCCTCCGCTTGCTGACACTTCCTGCCGTCTCTTCCCACCCCCACGGCTCCTGATAGAACATTCTCAGGGGCCAGTTCATGGCTGGGTGTTCACAGTGAGAAGGCAGGCTGCAGGGTGGGCTGGATCCTGGCACAGACTGACCTACCTCCGGGACACAGAGCCAGATTCTATGGCCTTCCCAGGGGGCTAAGGTTCCCAATAAGGAGGAGAATCTTGGACGGACCACATATGATGAGTTCTGAATTGGAAATGGTCCAAACAGCCAGCTAGGAACTGGCCCCAGAGGGTGCCCGAGGGAACGAATGGGCTGAATTTGCCCTGCGTGCTTGGGTGGAGGACCTCAGACACAGTGAACAAGGCTCCCTACTGACCTGGTTTCCTTCACAGGACCATCCCAGAGCCGAATATGAAGCCAGAGTTTTGGAGAAGTCACTGAAGAAAGAATCCAAAAACAAAGAGGTATGGTGGCCCCTGACAGCTGGCTTCCCAGCAGTAAAACATTGTATGTTCATCCACAGAACAGACCAGGGATCAGCAAGCACTGTATATCCATCCATCAACAGTAGAGGTGAGGGGCCAGCCCCCAGGCAGGGCCAGGTAGTAAATATTTTAGACAGTGCAGGCCTCTGTCACAGATACTGAACTCTGCCAGCGAAGGATGAAAGCCGCCGTAGACAACAGGGTAACAAGTGGGTAGGACCATGTTCCAATAAAGCTTTATTTACAAAAACAAGCAGGGTCCGGATTTGTCAAACCCTGCTAGAGATTTGCCTTCTCCATCCATCCTGAGGGTCACCTCAGACTTCAGCCAACATTTCAACATCAGGAACTGAGTAGCTTTGCAGCTTCCTTGCTCCCAGTGGTCACTGCGTCCAGCACTCGTGTTCTGTGTAGAATGACGGATAGGAAAGTTCGCCCGAACAGCGGCCCCGAGCAGATGGCCAGTTCCCTGTTTCACTCACAGACGACGAGAATGAGAGGGAGGAGTTTTGTGATGTTCTTGAGGCCATCACCTTTGAATAATAAATGCCTTTCTTTCTCTCCAAACCTCTCATTGAAATCAGCGGTTTTCTGGTCACAGCCTGAATTCTCGCAGACCTCTGGAGGTGCTTGGTTATTTCTGTAACGAAGGTTTTTTCAAAACGTGGGCCAAGCACGGAGTCCCCGGGCCCTTGCCAGCCTCTCACTGAGGCTGGAAAGTCAGTTCTTGAAGGGGTGGGAACAGAGGCACAAGGCTCTACCAGCTCCCGGTTCAGTGTCACGTCCGCACCCTTGGCCTCTGAAACTGACCACAGCAAACCGCTGGGCTTATCTTTTCTCGTCATTGGATCACGTGGACGGAGTTTGCTGGTACAAAGTGGCCGGGGGTCCCAATTGCCAAAACCCCATCTAGCGGGGCAAAGTGGATGCAGCCAAAGCTCCTCTCGGGCCCCAGTTCCCGTAACACAGCCAAAACCCAGCTCAGTCCTCCTGCGGCCAGAAAGGGGGTGCGTTTCCCTCTTAGAGTCAGAACAGGACTAGGGGTGCAGAGAACATAACCATCAGAGCGCGAGTCCTCACCAGCAACGAGCAGACAGTCTTTCTGTCAGAACACCTGCGTGTCCAGTGCATGCTGCCCTCGGAGCAGCCGCCTGGCGGCCTGGAACCAACGGCTCCATCCGCCCCCCCAGGCTGTGTCTCCTCTCCTGACGCCGCAGCTCTGAAGCCCCCAAGCCCCCGCTGTGGGCCGCCGCGCCCCGTGTGCAGTGCGGCATCCTCACCCCAAGACAGTCTGCCCTGTCGCTTTATGGCAGTCCCTCTTAGCACGAGCGTGGATGGGATTTTATTCCTTCCTAAGAAGGAAGGGGCTTTAGTGGCCCACATTGCATCCGCTCAAGTCAGGGGCTCAACCAGGCCCCAGCGGTGGGCCTGGGCAGCCACGCTGGGAGCCCTTCCCAGGTTCTTGGCTTTGTCCTGAGCTCTTTAATCACAAGAGCGACAAAGGTAAGGGTTCGTTTTTTGCCAGCCTCTGATGGTGACCCCAGGCCCCATATGCCTCCGGGGGGAGCCACACCCTTTATCCGTTTCACTGGCTCCGAACAGCTACTTAGTGCTTTTAATTTTCCCCCAGCTATGGCACCAAATTCGTTTAAGAGAAACATTTAAAAGGTCCACCCCTTGATTGGTGTGTTAGGATGCTGGATGTGGCTTCCTTCATGTTGGTGTAAGATGCTCAGAGTAATCGTGTCTTTGCGTAAAATGCACCGTCTAAACCACGGCGACCACCTGGTGAGAGGGGTCCCACGGGGCACTGAGCTCCCGGGCTGGAGTCTCCGTGGCCCTTACCTTTGCTGCAGCCTTTCTTTAGAAGGTGGCTCATCTCACGGGTTTAAGACACCCAGAGCCTGAGTCAGCCTCAGCCGGGGGCACGCTGGCTGCCAAGGGGGCAGTGGGGGCTGGGCCCGCGGTCTCACCCCACGGTGCTTTCTTGTCCACCCGCCCCAGAAGCGCCGGCATGTTCCGGAGGAGCCAACAAACAAATGGAGGCAGAGGGTTAAGACAGCCATGGCGGGGGTGAAATTGGTACTGTTCCTCTTCGGGGCAACGCGAGTCTTGCGTATTTGCCGACGACCAAAGTCCGTTGTGTTTTCTTCCACAAACTCTGACTGCTGTATTTTTTTTTTAACATTCACATCCGTGTTTCTTTGCCTGCCTCCCGCACCTGTGAGCTGTGACGTGTATTGAGATGTCACTGCATGGCCACGGTGGGTTCGTGGGAGGAGCTTGGCTTTGGATTGTGCAAAAAGCGCATGTCACAGCTGCCTGCGCGCGGTCCCCCTGTCTCATTAACACGCATGCCACCCGCCCTGGAATGTGTGGCCTCGGGTGTCACGTCTGCCAGCATTCTTTGACCATCTACATGCATTTTCCCATTAAAAACCCACCCTATTCTTGAAACATCCCAGGTTAGTGACAAGCATCTACATCAGGTTTCTCCAGACCGCACCATCCCTGTGCCAGAGCCTCGGGCCACGTGTCTCCGCCGTCCGCCGTTGCTACGCAGCCGACAGCGTTTTAACTTGTAGTGCTGGTGGCTTGTTTCAACTTGCTCTGCAAAGGAAAATAACTATTATGGTCTGGGTGGCAAAGGAAAACATCTTAGAGCTCCTCGCCTTGGAAGTGAGACTTCCAGCTGAGAAACAGAGTCCAGAGAGACAGACTTCTCCTGGACTGAGTGGGTCTGAGAGTGATTTAGAAACGCCTCTGGCATGACCACGTCCTGTACACAGAGGACGCACGTTTTTAAACAACTGTTTTTTCCTATCATTTTGTAACATCATTTCATAGGTGATAAAGCCTCAGGTGCCAGATGTTTGATTCACTCATCTTTTGCAGTGTTTTATTTTTTCCCGTGTTTCTGAGTGTCTGTTGTTCATGCCCACACACATGTGCGCACACACACTGGTGCACACACACACACACACTGGTGCACACGCGTCTCTCCACCCTGATGGTCCCCTCCACTGACCCAGCACTGTTTCGTCTTGTAGACGGACAAGGTGAAGCTGACCTGGAGAGACCGGTTCCCAGCCTACTTCACCAACTTGGTCTCCATCATCTTCATGGTGAGTTCTGGAAGGCTAAGGAGGGAGGCGGTCGGGGCCCCTGGGGGACGTGCCGTGCTCACCGGGGCGGGGTCAGCCACTGTCCCCATCCTGCGTGGGGCGGGGCGGCGGCATGGGGGATTCTACCAATCCTCCAAATGGGAAGGGGCCAGGGTTCCGCAGGCCCCCCAGGGTGACTCCACATGCCTCGGGGCTCATGAGATGGTTTCACATGGTCCCTGACACACATCCTTCCTTCTGAGAGTAGCATGTGTAGTCATTCAAACCCAGAGTTCACAGACATTATTTAAGACAAAACTGAGGCATTTTAAAGAAAACTATTAAATAAGTAACACGCAGGACAAAAATCAGGGCAGTGCTGCTCAGGTAGCCGAGGGTCTGAGGCTGAGCTGCACGGACTGCTGATTTGAACAGATCGCCAGCACTCGGTTAGGGGATTTTAATTCCACCCAGACTGGGCCGCGCCCCGGAGGCCTCGGGTCCGCGTTAGCCATGGTTTCATCCCCCACAACAGATCAGGGCCACACATGCTCACTGTAGAGATGGCCGCCCCCTCGTCCAGCCCCCGAGCTTTAAGTTCGAGTCTGGCCCCGGGGGTCCCGCGCGGCTGCTGTGGGCCGTGGAGCTAGACTGTGCCCAGCGGCCCGAGGGCCTCACAGCTGCCTGTCCCCTGCCTGCTGGTGAGGAAGCGGAGGCGGGAGGCCTTGCCCTCTCCCCAGGCGACCAGCCAGCAGGTGTGGGGGCCAGACGCCAGGCAGACAGTCTGCCCCGCGACCCCCACTGTTCCGTGTGAACTTGGCGGGGTGTCTTGGTTTTCCGTGCTGGGGGCCAAGGGGCATGAGGACCCCTAACCTCAGTAGCTGGAAGCAGAGTGAGGGCTCGGTTTCCCTCATGCTCTCACACACGATAAGATGTAAAGATGTACTCGGCTGACGTAAAGAAGTCGTAATGGGGACTTCCAAGACCACGAAGTCACTCGGTGGAGCCAGGAGGGCTACTGTGCCGTCCAGGTGATTCGGGGTGGGGCCCCAGCTGTGTTTTGAGGACCCTGGAGCAGGCCCCCCAAATGCACGTGAGGGATGTGCCCCCCAGGCTTGGTGCTGAGGGTAACCTGAGGATGACAGGCGTCAGGGTTCAGCCCCTCCTGAAAGAAGCAATGTCACCATGAAAGGACCAGCAAGGGAGTGGCAGGAGGTGGGGAGGCTCTGGGCCCTCCGCCTGCACCACAGCAAGGAGTTTGGACAAGAGCCCTCAGGTATACACATCACTTCCTTGAATAGACTTCAGAGAGTTTTGAGTTTGAATCAGGTAACTCTGTGATGCCTTCAGGCACTGGCTTCTCTGACAATCTGTGTCTTTGTTCCTCTTGGTCACAACACGGCTTCTCCACCTCCAACATCACCTCCACTTTCCAGGAGGAGGAAGGGAAGGGCCAAGGGGAAGGAGATGGATGCTAGTGGAGGCAGCCCATCTTTGAAGGTGCTTTCACAGAAGGCCTGCCCACAACCTCTGCCTGTATCTTGCTGGCCATCTCGTCTGCAAGGGGGCACAGAGTCCCGCCCAGCAGAGGCAGGACAGTGGGTAGGGACCTCGCTGGCCCTTGAGGCACCAGTGACCCCATCACGGATGAATCAGACACAGTGTCATCCTGCACTCAGGAGCTTCACTCACTGAGCAAACCTCCGATGGTCCCCTCCAAGGTGCCCACGTGCTCCTGCTCCTGGAGACGCTGCTGTG